GAGCGTTTCTATCTCTGGCACCCGACCCCGTGTGGAGTCTCCAAACCTAGCAGATCCCTGCGGCGTGCTCCTGCACTGCTCCTCCCCGGGGAAGAAGGAGAGTCTTCCCAGATCTGCCTCTTGTTGGGTTCCTGCTTCCAGAAAGTGGTCGCTTTTCTGTTCAGACAGTTGCTGCTATTCTTTTCTTTGAGTTCGTAGGTGTTCAGAATGGTTTGATCCCTGTGTAGCTGAGTTCCTAGGACCAGACGAAATTTACGTCTCCTACTCCTCCACCATCTTGCTCCTGTTTTACTTTTTCTCTCATGCTTTTAACTTCACAGAGGATTCATTTTGTTCTCAGAATGATTTTTATATGCTCCTCTTCTTGCTTTGTGGATTGCAGCTTTCCTCTTACAAGGTTTTATTCTGCCTCCCTGCTTTGTTGTTGCTGTTTTCCTCAAATTACTTGTTTTGGAAGGACTCCTGGGTGTGGTGCATAGGTGGGTGTGTGGGTGAGGTTTAAGTGTGACTCACTGGAGATAAGGAAGAGGACTTATACTCTCAGTATTCACTGTTTAGACTTTCACATAAATACCTTGTTTTGGGGGATAGTACCCCTACCATCAGAAGTCCTGAGCATCCTGAGCTCAGCGTTCCCATAGTTTGAGTGCTATTCAGCCCAAGCATCTAGTCTTCTGGCTGGGGCAGGGAACTGGCATACTGTCATGTAGAAGGTGTGAAGGGTGGTATTTGAGGGTCTGACTTCTTTCTGTGAAGACTATCACTTTGTTTTCCACCTCATCACCCTTTCTGTGTAAATCTTTGCTTCTTTACTACCAGCTCATGTTTATATTTCTCTGGTTTCTAGGTCAGTCAGCATGTGTTTCCCAGCTTCTTAAATTCGATGGTTCTTTTTCCTCTCACATCTTCTTTGTGCTTTTTGATTTATGCCTATTTCATACTGTATTTTTACTATAGTGGCACTTCAGTAGAAAGCCAAGGTAGAGAGGTGTGTTCAATACTCCCTATTTTGCATGACCCCCCTATGATTTTAAATTAGGAAAATAGGCTTATCTCTGAAAATCAAAATCCTAGAATTTCTCTCTCTTATTCAGGACCAAAGGAAACTTTGATTTTTTTATTTTGACTTGGTCAGATTTAGAGTACATTATATTTAGTAATTAATAAATTTAGTAAGTAATATATGTATGCAGTGTTTCTTATTGCTATTGTGATTGACTAGAACTTAAATTCCTCTAACTTTTTCTTTGATGAATTAGACAGAATTCATAGACAACTATTAACCCCTGTTAATGTGTTTAGAAATTATTTAAAAGATGTCAGGATTTCTACTATAGACAGTAATGAACAACGTGTTTTCAAAACCAACATCGCTACTGGGAACAACTAGAAAATTTGTATATACTGTTTTTTTTTTTTAAACTAGTTGAAAGCTTCAGGGACTTTTCAAGGCATATTGGATTTGTGGGTCAAATTTCTGGGAGAGGGGACCCTGGCTTTTGCCACTATTTTTAAATGGCAAATTCTTAAACAAGGCTGAGAAGCTAAGCAGTTTGAGGAGACTGGTCTTGAGGGAAAATAAAAAACAAAAGACCAAAACTTGAATTCCAGAAATAGATGTATTGTTGTCTCTGTGGTTTAAAGTTTTATTTTATTGGCGATGTTGAGCACTTTATTTTGACTGGCCATTCCTGTATTTTCCATTTTTGAAGTATCTGTTCAATTTTTTTTTTTGCTTTTCTTTATTTGGGTTGTTTGTCATTTTATTACTGAGTTATAGGGTTTGTCCATGTATTCGAGAAATAAGCCCTTCATCAGATATATGTGTTCTGAAAAGTTCCCAAGTCTGGCTGGCTTGTTTTATTTTTTCCTATTCTTTCTTTTTTTTTTCTTTTTTTCTTTCTTTCTTTCTCTTTTTTTTTTGATGAGTAGAAGTTCTAAACCTGATGAACTTTAATTTACCTTTCTTTTTTAATCATTGATGGTTCATGTTGGCTTACCTTAAGGTTGTGAAGATATCTTCCTATATTTTCTTCTAGCAGCTTTATAGTTTACTTTAATGTTAAAGTTTCATTTTTTCTTAAAAATAAAGTTTAGTTTAAACTTAAAATTTATTTTGACCTAATCTTTATGTTTGATGTGAAGTAAGTGCCAATGTTGAGTGCACAGTACCACTGGGGAAGACAATAAAACAAGTTAGTTTTAATTAATTTTATTTTTAATATAGCTGGTTATTGGTTTTTATTTTTGTGTTGTTTTATTTTTTTTAGAGGGGTTGGTGGGGCAGAAGGAGAGGAAGAGAATCTTAAGCAGGCTCAGTGCCCAGCATGGAGTTTGCCCCAGGGCTCTGTCTCACAACCCTGAGATCATGACCTGAGCCAAAAATCAAGAGTCGGATGCTTAACTGACTGAGCCACCCAGGCACTTCCCAGGTTATTGTTTTTTAAATGATGTTGAGAAACACACAGAATCATTAAGAGGGATAGAGAACCAGATTTGGAAGATGTTTCTCTAGGATCATTGATGAAATTAAGTGCTAAATTTTCCTGGGGAAAATCCCATTGCTGCCTCTTGGTGCACTAGCAGGGCACCCTTCATTGCCAACACCCCTGACACATCCAGGACCCTGGTTGCTCTCTCTTCGACCACTGCTACTGCTGTTGCTCACATCACCAGGATGACTTTGGGTAGCCCCCTTTTTTCTTGGGTCACCAGCCTCTGATTGATCAACTGGGTTTTTATTCTGATTGATGGAGCCTGGGTCATGTGCAAACTCTACCTTCAAGTCAGGCCAGTAAAGACAAGGTATCTTGTGTTTCATCTGTTACTCTTTTGTAAAGTGTGGCTTTAAGAGCATAGGAAGAAGTTTCAGATGCTGTCAGAAATGAATGGCAGGTACCCCCACACAGAATCCACTTGTGTATATGTCTTTGAGCTCATGTTTCTGACAAGTCTTACCAAGAGGTATAGGGTTTCCATATATTGGATCACCTAAAAATGGTCAGGCAGTCATTTATTACAGTAAGGATTCATAGAGTCACCAGTGCCTCTCATTCTAAAATACAGCTAGGCAGGGCACCTGGGTGGCTCAGTCGTTAAGCATCTGCCTTCAGCTCAGGTCATGATCCTGGGGTCCCGGGATCGAGCCCCGCATCAGGCTCCCTGCTCGGCGGGAAGCCTGCTTCTCCCTCTCCCACTCCCCCTGCTTGTGATCCCTCTCTCGCTGTGTCTCTCTCTGTCAAATAAATAAATAAAATCTTTAAAAAAATGAAAAAAATACAATAAAATACAGCTAGGCTTTTGTAAATACTTGACTTGTTCGTGGTACTGAATCCATTCTTTGGTGTGTGAATTCTTGTCACTCACAAAGTGATGTTTCTATTTTCTGCTTTACTAGAAAACCTTGAAATGCTTAGGATCCACGTTCTGGTAGGATTTTTCTTTCTGAATTTTTCTCATTTATTGAGTATATGAAAGACAGTAATCATTATGGTTTGCAAATAAAGATATTTAGGTCATTAGCCAGCATAACATTATGTTCCTTAATTCAGTGGGTACACATTTTCCCCATATTTTTTAGCATCTTTAAAGTCTTTTTCCATTTTCCAGTAAATAGACCATGATGATTAGATTGTAAGCATTTTTTCTATTAGTTGTATGCAGGCTGGTTATAGCATCTTATAAATAAACAATCATATCTTATGTTGGTGAAATTATAATAATTATTTTAAATACAAAAATAATAATTAGTTAACAGATATATGATTAAGGTCATTGCACAATTATGCCTCCTTGTTATCAATGTCTTTATTTAATATTATAGACCCCAGACATCAAGATTCTCCCAGAAATTATACAAACCCAACAAAAACTCTCACTTCCACACCTCTGTTTTAACAGCTGTGTCATTCTTCTCTGTTTATCTCAAAATGGCACCTGCAGCCCCTTCTGGAGTCTCGGGGTGGTGTGTGAATTTATGAGGGAATCCTCTGGCCAGAGAGGCCCTCTGTCCTCCTGCTTTCCCATGCTCACTACCACAGAGACAACACTCTCCTTTTCCTTACTTCTTTAGTTCAAAGAGTGGTTACCCTCTGAAAGTACATCTCAGATTGCAACACATACACCATTAAAACCGTGATAATAATGCATTTTGTGTCTTGTTGCCCTGCATCAGAAAAATTCCCTTATTTTGTACTAATCCTTTCCCATGCTGCTTAGCGATCAATCAAAACAACGGCTTATATTTGTGTAGTGACCTACAGCTTTTGCTGTGCATTTTTGTGTATCACCTCACTTAACTTTTACAACAAGTGTGTCTTATGACAGGGTGGTTATTCTCATTTGACAGATAAAACAGTGTTGGACTATGCTCACGTACTAGTGGATCGCCAATTCCAAATTTGGTTTACAGAACTCCGAATCAGTTTGTTTTTTCTTACTTACTCTGCCCTTTAATATCTGGACTCCGAATATCTAAAATTCGTTCTCTTCTTTTATTTTTGAGTTTTCATTTAATCTTATAATTAAAAAATTGAGCAAACAATGGTAACTTTTAGTGTTTTCTACATATATAACAAAAATTGTTTTGACCTGATATCTGATATTTAGCATTTTTATTAACTGACTAATTCATTCTCAAATTAACTTGAGAAATGATCCTACAAATCAATGTCTTTGAATAGGAAAGGATTGAAAATTTGCTTTCAATGGAAAGAAAATTTTATTTTATTTTTTTAAAGATTTTATTTATTTATTTGACAGAGAGAGACACAGCAAGAGAGGGAACACAAGCAGGGGTGGGGGGTGGGAGAGGGAGAAGCAGGCTTCCTGCTGAGCGGGGAGCCCATTGCAGGGCTCGATCCCAGGACCCTGGGACCATGGCCTGAGCCAAAGACAGATGCTTAACCACTGAGCCACCCAGGCACACTTTGATAGAAAGGGAATTTTTACTACATTATCTTACTCTCCTCTAATTTTTTTTCAACACCTTTTATTTCTAGTTATGTTTCGCCTCTATGACACAGATGGGAATGGCTTCCTGGACAGCTCGGTAATTTTTTTCTTTAAATTTTCTGTGAAAATTTCAAAGTAGTTTGTTCTGAAAAATGCAATGAATAAATTTATAGCTATTACCACAGAAGACACACTTAATATAATTTCCATGCACTCACACAGCATTTTGATCATCTTTTTGAAAGAGAGTGATCTGAAAAAAAAATAAATAAATAAAACTGTTAGGATTACAGTTGTTCTGTTGAATAATTTTGCTAAAAAAAAGTGACTTTTTATGCATGGAAAGATAAAAAAGACCCCAACTCCTTTGAATGATACATGAGAAATTTGAGATCATTGATCTAGAAAGAAAAAAAAAATTGAGCTTTGACACTAAGAAAAATAACAATAATACCAGTAGAATTGAAAGGAATTATCAAGTTAATTTAATCATTTTATCATTTTTGCACATTTTAAAAGTTTTTTAGTCATATCTGCTGTTAAAATACATACATTTACAAATTACTTTAACAAACTTCCCTTTTTAAAATGTCTCATCCAATTTAAATGCAACTTGTACTCTGTCATTTAGTCATAAAAAGCAATAGGATAAAAATACCATCTCTATATGATTGAACTAAAAGGAATAATTAAATGTCTATTGTATTTGTAACATACACAAATCCTTGACAGTTTTCAGAGCAGTAGTTAGATTCTTAATTTTACTGCACAAATCAGTGCTTCAAATATAAATCCATTTCAGGTTCCATCCAATAATGCATCTGATATTTGCTAGTGACATATTTTTCATATATTATTAATTCTTCTATAAAGAAAATAGAAGAATCTTAAAAAAATAATGTGTCAGGTTATGGAAATTTTGGAGTACACAGGTACATTAAATAACAAATGTTTTGATACTTTTAAATTGATTAAAATGAACATTACTTCTGATAATGAGTGAGTTTCTCTCCTCATCTGTTACATGTCCCTTTAGCAGAGCTCAAACAGAATTCTACAAGCAAAGCAATGAAGTTGGATACATATTTATGTAACGCTGAGTAGGATAATGGCACATTAGCTTCTCCAGAGAGAGACAAAAATATATAATTCCTACTTTAGGAAATGTCCACCATTCTAAATTGATGCTGTGATTGTGGGATTCCTTATGTTTAAGTCTCTCCAATTTTCAAACGCTATCATTTTTAAGTGCTTAGTAGTATCCAGTTATCCATTTAGGAATATTAAGCTGCAGGATACATTTGCTCATTTTCTGGTGGCATTTCACAGCGAGGAGTTTAGACTTTTCTAGATATTTCCATATGCTTATTGTAGCACTTCTGAGTATACTACTGCAAATTATATTTAAATGCAAATTTGTTTTATTTAGTGTTTCTTTTTAATTAAATTAAAAGGATGTTTCTTTACTAGGCTTCTAGCCACGGGTTGGCAGCTGATTTGCAAATTCAGTCAAATGCTTTTTCTGGTCTCTGGCCATTTTTTATTGTTGTTAACATATAATACATTGCATTATTTATAACTATCATCTAATATTAAACAATAAGTTGGAGATAAATAAATTGATTTATGATTAAACTAGTCTGTTTTGTAATTAAAAGCCTGAATTTTATTTCTATGATTTTCCCCAGACAACTTACCACTTCATTATATTTTCTTCATTATCAGGTTGAAATTGCACATTCTGATGTCCTTAATCTTGGAAATTTAAAGGTGTAGCACTTCACATATTGGAGGCCAAACAGAGGAAAATTGATATTTTGAAAAATGACCACTATGTGTAATAAAACTAGTGAATATTTATTGATCCCTTGCAGTTTGCCAGGCAGCATAAATGTATTTCGTATCATAGCATGCTTACTCTTTGCAGCAACTCTATGCAGTAGGTAAGATTAGAATACTCATTTTACGGATGAGAAAGCTGAGTCTTAGGTCAGATGACTTATCTAATGTCACATGCCTACATAAAAAGGGTTTCTGTTCCTAAAAACATGTCCAGGGGCTTTCACCACTCCAAACCATCAAGGCATAAACAGGCAAAGATAGAGTAACACCCCCACACACAATTCTAACCTATAATTCCAAGATATTTTAGTTGAAATTTTTTCTTAACTGTAATAAGTAAATTTATATTTATATATTTGTATTTTTTATATTTATATTTATATTTTTGTATTTGTATTTATATTTGTATTTTTGTATTTGTATTTATATTTGTATTTTTTTTCTGGGGCAATCTGTGTTACCTAAACAACATTTTCATGATTACATTTTTTTTGGAGAGAGGAATGGAGCTTTCATCAGTTTCTCAGATGGATCCATTGTCCCCCAAAAGACAACCTCTTTTACCACATTTCCTTCTTCACTCTATGAATATCAATTACATATATTACATCAGAGATTTGAGTAGAATAATCTTTGATTAATGTACTTTCAAACCTTATCCTTTTATACTTCTTATATTTTAAATTATACTGTTAAGACACCACATTTAATTATCTCAGTGACTATATTTAAAATTACTAGCATTTACGAAGTATATTTAATCTTTTCTGGAGATAGGGAAAAATTAAAGTATTAAATAAATAGGTATGAGCAAATGTTTTAATTTATTTGGTCAAGGCATATGTATTAACTAACCGTTCTTCAAAGAGTTGACACTTGAGCCCAATAGTATGAAAATGCTAACTAAAATTCTATTTCCTCATAAAATAAACTCTACATGTACTTAGCCTCCAAACCTTGACCCTGAGCACGCCTCTCGCAGAGCAAATTATGCCAATTAATGGCTGGAACAGTCGATATACGTTCTCAGTGTATCAGAATAAAAATAAATCTCTCAGTTGCCCTCAAACGCTTCCTTCCATCCTTCCACACCTGTTTCCAAGCCAAAGGGTCAGGACACTTGATGACTTAAATATCACAGCTTGTGAAAATATGCCTGCTCCTACTTCAATCAGATCTTCCTTTCTAAAGATAGATTTTCTTCTTTAAAAAAAAAAAAAAAATCTGCTCTGGAAGAAAAGCTTTTTTAATGTAGTTGTGCCCTCTTCTGGTGAAGATTTCTAGACAAAGTACAAAATAAATTTATATTCAAGTGCTTCTTTTATGTATAGTCAATCAGACTGTTGAAAGGATATATATAAAAATTAATGCATACGTATAAATTATATATAATACATAAATTAATCATGTAACTCTTAGTTTTTGAACTACACGTTAAACAAAACAATTCTTATAAGTCAAAGTTTGAAAAACTTACAAAGACCCTGTATTCATGATTTCTCCCTTTTCTCTGTCTCTGTCTCTCTCTCTCTCTCTGTCCTCTCCAGGAGCTAGAAAATATCATCAGTCAGATGATGCATGTCGCAGAATACCTTGAATGGGATGTCACTGAACTTAATCCAGTAGGTATATGGACAACTTAACTGTTGCCTACATTCTTGAAGGCCCGTTTCTCTTTTCTCTTTTTTGGAACCTTAATATACTACTGCCATTTGATATTTTCTTTTGATAACCCGAAGTTACTATTTCTATTCAGTAGCAAAAGTGGATTCTGAACAAGAAAAGGTATACGTGGTGTTCTGAAGCTCTTAGCAGTAACTTTTGCTTTTCTTCTTCATGGAAATTAATTTGAATGGCGATCTCAGATGTCTTTAGGTAAGCAGGAGCTGCTGGTGGATACTGCCAAGGTTATGCCATGCAACAAAATAGTCAGAATTAATGTATGTTATTCATGATCTCTATGTTTTCCTTTTATGGAAATAGCTAAATATTCATTCTAAAAGAAGATGAAGTCACTTAAGATGATGACGGTTGACTGTGTACACTGCACTGTGTTAGTTCCTGTATACGTGTTACTCAATGCTTGCAACTCTCTGAGATAGACACTACTATTTTATTCATTTTGCAGATAAGGGAATTGGGACCCCAGCATGTTCAAGAAACTTCTCAGAGCTCTTCAGCTACTTAAAGATAGAGCTAGAGAGTTGTAATAATTTGTTTAAAGAAATGGTATCTAAGGAGGCTTTTAAGAACATAACAACTTCTTATTTTTAATAGATTTACACCAAATACAGTATTCAAATGTATTTTAAAACATACTTGATTAGAAACTTTGACTTTCGCTACAAGTAATATTTTGGAGGGAGTTGATAAATACGTTATTGACTAGTTTATTCTTGAAACCAACTAAGTTGAGCACATTGTAAATGAATTAAGTATATAAAAATCAATTTTATTTAAATGGCTTACATTTTATAAGAATTTTAAAAGCCTGTAACAGCATGATAGTGGCATGATTATAGAATAGAGCCGTGGTAGCATTTCCTTTGCTGTGGAGACTAGTGCCAGGAAAGTACAACAAAGTTATATGCAGTGTCATGTATAAAGGAGTGGCACCATTCTTACTGGGATTGGGGTTTTCCAAGTTTTAACTCAACCGGTTTTTCTTTTGGGAGGATGTCGAAATACACCATGCTGTGCGCATAATGCATAGCAGATATCGTTCACAAAGTTGCAGTTTGTATATGGAATAATAACTAATAGTGGTAACTTGTATTTAATTCTAAGAATACTGCTTGATTCATCTTAATACTATTTTCCCTGAAATCAAGGGACTTCTTTTAAGTTCTGTTGCCCTTTTTGGTTATGTTTGTCTACACCAGCTTTCTCCATCCTGCTCACCTCAATACCCGTGAATATTGTACATCTTTCAGTCAAGTCTCTTGTCCTCACTGGAGTGATGGAAGGAAGGAAGGAAGATGTTTTTCTATCAGTTTTCAAAACAGAAGGGGGCACCGCAGCTTCCCCACAACAAATAGTGGGGGAGGGGGACTATACACTTGAGGAAAAGGGGGATCTGGATGATTTGAAGAAGGGAACAGTTGGTGGCTAGGCAGTCTAATTATGACAAATACCTACTGGAAAATACAAATAATAAACTATATTGCATTATTTGTCATTTGTGGCACACATTGATAAATTTGCCACTTCTATGAGTAGTATAAATAGAAAGTGAAGATGAAGAGATTTATGTTGGGTAGTATGTTTGCTGTCATAGTGACTACCTCATCCTGCCTAATGATTCAACAACTCTGCCCTTTTTAAACCATACATGTACAAAGCATACATTTGTACACGTTGTCAGAGCCTTGATACATTTGCATATATGAATAAAGATAATTGAACGTTTGAGGTCCATGGCAGATAATAGGGAAGATTGAGACGTCCTTGGAAGAGGTTTTTAAAAAATGAACCCATGCTCTCACATGAGATTTATTAGGTACAAGATGAAAGCACCAACCATCTGAAACAATGCTCCGTGTCCTAGTTCTCATTTATCCATTTCTCCTAGTTCATCAAAGTGCGTTCAAGGGGCAGGACGTTTTAACAAGATCCTGTACCATTTTGCCAAATTCTAAATCATATCCCTTGTTTTTCATTTTGAGGATAATAAAATAATTATTTCAGTACCATTTTATCCCAAAAAGTCTTTTTCTCAATACCTATATTTAAATTTGTATGAAGGAAAATAGCCTCATTTTCAAATACTTCCTGAGGAAACACACCCATCCACGAAGTTCAAGAGTTTTTAGGCAAACAGCACTTCTATCAACATATCAAGTATTCCATTTATTGCACCTTTCAAATTTTGGTTCCAATGCTCTCTCTCTCTCTCTCTTTTTTTTTTTCTGAATTGATGAAAATTTCTGTATTAGATAAAGGAGTGAGTTACTTTCTTTATTGAAGTTCTACCATGTTTGCCATTTTGGTGCTGTTGGGTGAGAAATACTTCACCTTCCCAGCAACGAACGGTAATATGTTTGAAACTCACATATAGTTTCTGCTCATATAACATAACAACACCTATATGACACTTACTATACATGCTACATGCTCTTTGAGGATCTTTATAGTATATTAACACATTTAACCCTCACAACAATCCTTTGGAATAAATACTGATATTACCACAATAAAAGTGAGAGATCAATGTATTACCAACAAACACTGTGGAGAACATTTTGGGACACTCTGTGCAAGTCATCTTTAAAGAGAAATCTAATCAAAAATGACTTGATGGTTTAACTTCTTGGCTTTATTAAGTTCTGATAGGCAATTAAAAGCAACTTAATTTCCCCACCCCTTACCACTTAGCAAAGAGTCATTTCAGCTCTTTGCCATGAAGTTAATTTGTTCAGACATTATCTGGCATACATATGAATTAAAAAAATCTAGAGAAAGCAATTAAAGACCACTTTCACCCTTAAATTAAAGATACTTTCTTGATTTAGCTGTACCATTCAGTGACAAAGTATTAAAAAATTAAGCAATTATTTCTAAAAGTTGAATAGTATGAGAAGTGAGGTTGTAGAAATCATAACAAAGCCACTCTATCCTCAGTTATTGGATTGACATTGTACCAGGTTACCTAGATATTTATCTCTACTCTGCACTTAGCTGCTAGTCAGTTTGTTATAACCAATTCAGTGCAATGCTTTGTTCTCTCTTATGAAATTTATTTTATTGATTCTTAGCAAGTTTTCCTTCGTGTCTTCTACTCCAGATCCTCCACGAAATGATGGAAGAAATTGACTATGATCATGATGGGACAGTCTCTCTGGAGGAATGGATCCAAGGAGGAATGACAACAATTCCACTTCTTGTGCTTCTGGGCTTGGAAAATGTAAGCATTTACACAAAGAGGGTGGCCTGGTGGTAAGTCAGTGGGGTTCTCTATTACACATTTTGATTATAAATTGATCTGGCCATTTTCTATCATTAAGCATGTAGTGAGTGTCTGGACCTTTTACTAAGTATGCCACAGGGCAATTTAATAATAAGTCCTGTAGTCATCCTTGCCACAAACACATTGATTCATTTTAGGTGCTACCTTATTATTTAATACATAATTTCTCTCTTTTTTCTCTATTCAAAGTACAATCTGGTTTAAAAAACTATTGAACTTCTCATCATTTTATTTACTGCAAGAAACGCCCTAAAATTATTGCATTCTCTGGTTCTTGGGGGCTCTATCTCATTCCACAATCACCCTCCCCATGAAGAAAATCTGTTTTATTGATAACCAGTACTTGGAGAAGCCAATTATATATTGAGGTAGTTGAGAATATATAATATATACATATTATATATTGTGACATATATTTTATATATATATATGAGAAACATAAATTTTTCTTTTTTTTAAGATTTTATTTATTTATTTGACAGAGAGAGACACAGGGAGAGAGGGAACACAAGCAGGGGGAGTGGGAGAAGGAGAAGCAGGCTTCCCTCCGAGCAGGGAGCCCAATGCAGGGCTCAATCCCAGGACCCCGGGATCATGACCTGAGCCGAAGGCAGACACTTAACAACTGAGGCACCCAGGCGCCCCGAGAAACATAAATTTTTCTTACATATCATCAGATCAGCCAGGCTTTCATTCTAAGCTTAGCAAAAGTTTTCTTGTATCAGTGCCTCCAGTGGTAATTAAATAGTGCTTTGGGGGAAAAGAAATCAACCTAAGCTCAGAATGGGATATGACAGCGACTTTGAAGCCAAACCTTGCTACCCAGCCTTGATGTCAATTTCAGTAATCGTTAATTTCAAACTCAGTGAGTCACTACTGAATTTTTGTATTTAGCATTAATAAACAAGAATTAACCATAACATGCATATAGTAAAATGTATAGTTAGATTCAAAGAGCTTTACTGATGGAAAGCACGCATACAGTATTTAGAATTTTGAGCCGCAAGAACATAACATCCACCACTTGGCTGCTGACTCCAAGACTTTGCATACTTCTTGTTACCAGAGATAACAGTTTTGCAGATTCAAGACTATACCACAGTTACTCAAGAGACCAGATTTTTAAAAACCCTCAAGAAATCTTACAGTCTGTGTTTGTAAAACATGTGAGAATATATACAAATATGTTTGTACATATTTGCATATGGGTTTGGGAATATATAAGTGGGCTTCAGGAAAGTAACTTTTGTCTCTTTTTCACCTGAATCTTCAAATTCTTTTCTAATCAGGTGAATCTTACCCTTCATGAGGCCCATAGGATTTTAGATATGGCCAGAGGAAGGCAGAGAAAAATTACTAATAGATGATATACAGGATGTTATCCTTAAAGTAAACATTAAAACAAAGATAATATAGATCTTATTGTTAATACATACATATTTCTACATTTTGATAATAAATTAAGCAGTATTTCCTTGTATCTGATGTTCTCATACTATACATAACCAGATATCTTTTTGTAATAACCTATTGTATATCTCTATATTATAAATATTTGTTCAGTTGTTTAATACACCTTCTGACAAAGTGTATGTAAGCCAATCAGGAGAAAACAAAAAGAAAATTTGTAAAATGTTAATATTTTAAGGTTTAGTGTATATTTTACACAGAAAAAGTTGTCAGATGCTAGTCAAGGAATTTCTGATAATAACAGTGTTCCCAAAGAGAATTTTATATTTTTGAGGCTAAAATTGCACTTATTCTAAATATTTGTGGAAATTTTAGTGTGAGAGAATGTGCAGGAATGAGTAAGTAAACCACTTGGTAGTTGGGGTGTTGGACAGCAAAATGCAGAAATGCAGACTTAGTCATCTATATTTAAAATAGTACAGAAAGATTTTGAAATGATGTTCATTTTTGGAAACTATTATTTAGAAATACTTTGTAATTCAATTAATAAATATGGGTATTTTTAAAGTTATGAAAATAGCATGGGTAAATATACTCCGCAGATCTATATGGATTTAATTCAAACTCATCAGTTTCTGGTGTAGCAGTAACTTTATTTCAACTGAATGAGAATTCTTTGTCATTAATTTCTGTCAGGTTAAGCATACCTAATTTACTTTATAACCCTATTCTTAAATTTATGGTTTGTGTTTTTAGTCATAGGAGATGTTTTGGGGGCTTAACAGGGGAAATCAATTAAGGGTTTCAAAGCAGTACCCAGTACTACATTTCAACACTGTGTTCCCAGTCAAGGCCACTAGATGGCAGGACAACATCGTTTAACATTTACAGATCAATTTAAGTAGGAGATGGCATTTTTTTTTTCCCCCATACGGAACAATTCAGAGAGTTAAATCCCTTTTCCTTCGCTTTTTTTTTAAAAAAAGAATAAGCCAATAATCTTTTGAATTGTCTTTTAATAAAATGTATAAGCCATGTAATTATGATCACAAAACAGAGCATTTATTTGTTAGAAACAGCTTTTTAATTCCAAGGCATGGAAAGTGTTTTACAAAGCAGGAATGACACAATGACAACTGAGTGATGAGGGACCTTTTTTAGTAATTGAGATTTATTTCCTTTTCTGTAGGCAGTTAATGTGTTATGTTATTACCTATAGAGAATGTGATTCATGATGCCATTTCCCCCCTCCCCCCCCACTTTTGCTAATCAAATTGGAAATCTAGCAGCTTTAGGTTGAATCCAACCATTTATTGTGCAGCCTGTCTTGTTATGTTGTCCTATATATTCTTGTCTTCTGTCAATTATGAGCTCAGGGAGTAGATTCTAATTGAGAGTGCATGTTAAATAGCATGGTGTATTTGAAAGTGACTTGTGGTGTACTAGCCAAATTACACAGATATGAACATTGTCTTGGGAGAGCAATCCTTACTTTTAATGCAAAGCAGAACAGTTGTGATTTCATTGTAGTTTATTTTTCTCTATCAACAGAATTTAAAAAGCTACTCTATTTTGAATATTATCTGTTTGGGAACCAAAATCAGAAATGTAGTTTATCAGAACCTGACTTTCTATCTCTATCCTTTCTCTTATAAGAAGTCCATCAAACTTAGCATACCTAACATGAAATGGTACAGTCTCTTAAGTCTGAAGGAAAACTGAGAGTTTGAGTGGCACTTGTGAATTTGATTACACCTGAGGCATAGTCATTTATACAGGAGACTTACTCATTCTTCCTTTGGCGTTCACCTCGCTGAAGAATTTTACAAATTCAATTTTGAATGAAAATATTTTATTTGAAATTAATTGCATCTAGCAATAACTCTGCTGTAGTGATTAGCAAACTTTGTCTGTAAGGGAACAGATAGATAGTAAATAATTTGGGCTTTGTGGACTATAAAGTCTCTTTTGTAAATGCCCAATTCCTCTGTTACGGCTGGTGTAAAAGCAATCACAGACACTGGGTAAAGGAAAGAGCGAGGCTATGGTCCAATAAAACTTTATTTACAAAAATAGGTTGCCAGTCAGATTTGACCCAAGGGCCATAGTTTTCTGGCCCCTGATTTATTCTGTCACTAATCTGTCATATTACACAGAAAAAGTTTTAGTTTATTTTTAGTCATTGAGGAGAAAGGAATCTAATACCCTTTATTTAACTCACTTAAGACAACCCCAGCAAGATGTGTGGACTAATGAAGAGATAGTGTGCTAGTAGTGAAGTTCAACAAATTGATCTTTACCTTGGCTCTATTCTTAACTAACGAGGTCATGTTGTGCTAGCCAGTCATCCTCTCTGGACACATTAAAAAGAAGCTAGGCAAGAATATCTTTTTCTTTTTCTAATATTATGTCAGTTTGGACATTCCTTTTCTTAGGTGAACAAGGTAATTAGTACTGCTCCAATTCCTAGAGTGTGTAATCTTGGATCATTATTAGATTTTTCAAGGAAAATTCCTGAATTCATATTATCATAAAAACAGAAGTATACATTTAAGGAGCCTGGCTTAATATAAGACTCCCTTATCTTCTTAGTCTTGGATTGTAGTCTGGCATGTATGACTTTTGAATGGATATGTGTTTTGACTTCTCTATATGTATTCTCAGAATCCTGGACTTGAAACACTATATGTAATTTAAAATTTGCTGTTGATCAAAATGTTTTAGGACGTATTTTTTTTTCACCTGACTCAGCAAAGTGAAAGTAAATGTTTGGTGTGCCTCCTGATTTCTGATGGAATCTATTTCCTGATGAAATTTCTGAATATAATGGAGAGCTGAAGATGATGCATTCTTAATAGACTAAGCTATATTTGGAAAACTAATGCTTCTCACTCTATTTTTTAAAATTTAATTTGGTTGAGATGTTGTTTTGCTGTTTATACATTGCTCAATCTAGAAAGGAATTATGAAGCTGGATAAATGCAACAATTCTTGAGATTCCAGATTGGGTCATTCAAGGGAAATGACTATGCAGTGTGATGGGCTGGTGCATTTTCATTTGAACCCAGGAATGGCAGGGCCTGAGCCTGACCTAAGAAAGTGGGGTCTGGAGATAAGCAGTTGATATCAACTCCACTCAGAATTTTAAAATGTCTCTCTGCATTTTCTTTGTCCAGACCTGATACAGCTCATCTTTTTGTCTAAAAGAGCAGTTTCTTTTGTATTGTTATAATTTTTTGGAGACCTTGAGTAGAAAAGTAAGGTAATTTAATGGTCCTTATTATTTAATGAGTTGGAATTAATTTGCAACATTAGCTCTTAAATGTGTTTTAAGTGAGGTCAGTTAAAACAGGGATATGGCCATGTATGGAGGTTAGGAACATTTTGGCTATGACATTAGTACAATTTCTCCTTGAGGTCTTTTGAAAAAAATGATATTATTTATAATAGTCCTAGTTCACTTGAACATGATGTGTGATCTTAGATGCATTTAAGGAAAAACTAAAATTTTCAGAAATCACTAGAATAATGAAATAGGTTTCAAAAAGTTCCAAGGGCATACTTGCCTTTGAAACCTCCTTTTGACTATAGGGTAATAAAAGGGGAGGAAGAACGTGGAGCTCCTTCTCCATGTGAACTTGCTTACATTTCATTATTTCTCTGTCGTAATTGGTTCACAGAACTGAACTGTTTCAATTTTAAAACATATTGTTTTATAAATATCAGGAATAAATTTCCCTTAAGAGTGATGTCTGGTAATGAAAAAGTGAGAACAAAATTTTTATGAAACAAAGTATAGTAAACCTACAAACATCCTTCTCAAGTCTTTTGGCTGAAACATTGAGATGTTACACAGCTCAACCCAATGATGGTAATAATACTTGCTGTTTATATAACACCAGTCTTCTGAGGAGCTAAATTGACTTCACAGATATTGTATAATGAAAGCTCACACCACGGCCTGGTAGAGGAAAGTAGGTGCTTCCATTTTATTAGAGAGGAAAATAAGAAGAAATGTGAAATGCCTTATGTACATTTTCATAGTAGGCCAGGAACAGAACCTTCTGGATTTCTTCATCATTTCTTGTTTAGAAAAATGAATTCCTTTCTATGACAATAAATATTTATTTGCAATAGAAGTACTAATAGGACTATGCTTTAGTGGCTGATAGAATATAGTAAGGGACAGATTTTCCCCGTCCCCCACTAAGTTTACCATCTAAATAAGACAAACAAGACAAGACATGAAAATACAGAGCACTGGAGTATAATTTGCACTGCTGAGAAATAGTTGGCTCCTGGTTTCAATTTCTTCTCTTGAAGTCACATACATATTTCATCCTTTGCATACTTTGGCAATATATCCAGTTAAGAGTTATAAAGCTATTTAATTTGTTTTTTGGTAAAGTATTTTATGTCTGCGTAATGGATTTGTACATCAGTTGCAGCCTGTAACATGGCTAAGTGTTCTGATTGACAGAACACCCACGTTCAGACTTGTTTATTTTTTTGATAAGGAAAATGCCAGCTAACTTAGTCCATATGTGCTCTTCAACAGGATGAGGCTTATTCACATGTAATGGACACTCATTTAAAAATAAAATGACAAGGATTATGAGAACAGTAATACATACGAAAATTAGGTTTTTTCCCTTTCCTCTTTTCACTTAAGAATCTTAGTTTAAGCTAACTTTATTTATCTGTATCTCTATATTATACCTATCTATCTATCCATCTCTATCTCTATATATTAAATTAACAACCCCATTACTTAAACTTTTCACTCAGGATGTTTTATTCTTATTTGAAGGAATAGCAATTTTAAAATATTGACAGTTTGAAAAATACAGCAATGTTAAACAAATATATAAAATGTTCCATTCATATAATAATGATATTAGAAATCTTGTGATTCAAACAAACCAGCACTGGATTCAGAAATTATATAAAATGTATTTCTTAAGTTGTGGAAGAAAATTGAAACACAAGTGTCTTCTGATGTCCTCTCCGTGACACTCTCTACATAATTGCTTTTGTTGAGAGCCTGTTAGTCCTTTGTCAAAAAAAAAAAAAAAAGGAATCTGAGCATTGTCAAGAACTGTGAAGGGTCTGAGAGTTACCCTACTTGTAAGTTAACAAGTTAGCTTGCTAATATTTCATGAATACTGGCAGAGGACATGAGACACCTGGGTCAGAAACAAAGGACTTCTTTATTTACAGCAAAGCAAACCATAGGAGCTGCATGTCTGAGCTAGTTCTCCTGTCCTGTAGAGTCCCCCAGGGGTGATGGAGTGTGGCCCAAGGAATCACTGTGCCCAGCATCAGAGCTTGGAACCCTTGGCTTGGGGAAACTAAATCTTTTATAATGTGCAGTAAACAAACCTGCTTGACCTTTTCCTAGAAGGGAGAGATTATTTTTATTATACTGGACAATAAGTAAACCTGCCCTCTCCTTCGGAGGGAGATACATCTCTATTGCCCAAGGCTGTTTGTTTTCCAAATATCATTGAAAAGATAGCCTGGAAATAAAGGACGGTTCTGCTGCTTACAAATTGTGCAGAAATTCAAGACACCCACGGAGAGTTATCTCCCAGGAAGCTTTTTCATTAATGTTTCATATTATGATGCAAATTTGACATTTCTGGTTCTAATGTGAGAATTAGTTACTATGGATTTAATCAAGTATTTCAAATTTGGTGGTTTATCTCTTGACTAGAAATAGGAAAAAGTGGTCGGGATGCATTATTAATATGTTAGTATCAAGAGAAATTAAAGGATCTGGACATGTGTATGCTGTCCCACTACTACAGAAATTGTGTTAGTGTCCCAGCACGCAGCAGGTGATCAAAAAGTTTTATTAGGTGAATGTATTCTGAAAAATATGACACTTAGGCTAATGTGAAAAATCATGTCCCATAATGGTTTCTGTAGAATAAGTGATATCTAAAATGAATCCGAATTTGATACAAGTTGGTGAACGGTGTACAAGGACTACATGTGAATGCAGAAAATGATAGTGACAAAAGTAATGATACATAATAACTTCATTTAGTATCTTGACCTTCTTGTAAGGAATTCAAGAGACTCATGAGCATCATATTATTTCATTTTACTTCAATCTGAACAATACAGATGTAATTAAATACCTATTAGAGAAATAGCTATTATGATATTATATAGTTTTACTTAGAAAAATAAATCATAATTATAGTTGTTATGCTAAATGTGAATTAATTTAAACCTAAGGTTTTATTGCAGCAAATAACTACAGTAATTGTTATAAATACAGTAATATAGTTTTAATATTTTAGCACCTTTCTATGAGATTAAAATCATTCATATTTTACAAAAGAGGAACAACCAACATGATAATATAATTAGGTCCTTAAAAAATTTTACCTTTTAAAATTTGCTGTTTGTGACAGATAAAAATATGCTAATGTAAATTATAAGCTGTAAGTAATCCCCAACTGATGTCTTAAAATATTACCAATAAGTTACCTTTAAGTATTGTGTTTTCCCATCCCATTCTGTCCCATCCCGCTGCCTCCTTTAAGACCCCACCCTCAAGAAATTTGCACATTCCTACTACTAAGCAAGGGTTAACATTCTTTCCAAGTTTTTATTTGTCAGGTTCTTCCACTGAAGAGTGTTTTCTCTTTCTTTATTCATTTATTTGTTTCTGGAATTGTGCTAAGGATAAAATATTCAAAGGCGAGACAGACATGTCCTCGTTCTTAGGGAGTGCTCAGTTTGGCAGGTCATTATGATGGTTTGGGACATGCTGTTGGACTGTTGACATTAGACAAGAATGTGTGCGTTGCTATAGTATCCGAGATTTGTTAGCAGGATCTCATTCCACTAGAGCACATGTGTTTTTCTAGACTCTTTGGCGATCTTGGAGAAAGTCAGGGATGAAATAACAGATTGTCTTCAAATGCCTCCGTCCAGCTCTGAGTTTTATTGGCACTTGCATATTCCTCTGTTTATTTCATTAAGTGAAATCTGTTTCTCTTACGTCCTGTGCAGAACGTGAAGGATGATGGACAGCATGTGTGGCGACTCAAGCACTTTAACAAACCTGCCTACTGCAATCTTTGTCTGAACATGCTGATTGGTGTGGGGAAGCAGGGCCTCTGCTGTTCCTGTGAGTATACTTGCTTTGCCTGGATGTCATCGCCTCCAGTGAGGAAAGGTTGATTTCATGGAATAGTCCTATTTGTAGATGGAGACCTAAGAAATCATTCTGACCCTCCCTGTACCTAGGATTTATGTTTCCCTGCAGTATGTTCCTAAATGTTTAGGTCACTCTAGCTTTAACTTTCTTCAGGTTTAGGAAACTCTCCCTTTGGAAAAGAGTTAAGGGCATTTGCCAATTCATCAGCCATTTTCTTTCCATTGTAGTTTGACTTACCTATGATTCCCATTTTTTTCTGGGATAATTATGAAAATACCCACCGGTTTCTCATATTTGTATCTTATTCATATTTGTCCTTTAATTTTCAAGTTAGCCACTTTATTCACATTGTCTTCCTATAATGAGCCAATTCTTTTAGATCTTTTAAGAAACAATTGGATTAATTGATTATTAATTTGCATTCAAATTAAGAATACAAACCAATCTTACACCTCACGCACATGATTTTTAATGCTATCGTGAGGAAAACCTTCCTGTATAGTTAATGGATATTGGAACCTGAAGGATTGCCATCTCATGAGTTGTGGCCATTATTTCCACTTCAGTACACTTATCTTTGCAATTTTCATTGTATTCTGTTGAGTGAGTACTGCCCACTAGAATTTTCTGGTGGAATATATAACAATTAATTTATAAAAATCACCTAAGTATTTTTAAATAAACAATATTTATACCCAAGAAATGTTACATTCTCTAATGCCTCTGTTAAAACAAGGGATACTGTGTCCTCCTCACTAAAGTATGACATTCTCTTGGTCCAGCAATTTGTCCATCCATTTCCTTTTCTGCTCTCTATAGAGTTACTGAAAATATCAAGTTTATTAAACACAGCCCATTTTTGTGCATTTACATTAAATCTAATTTCTTATTTGGCTTCCATACAGTATATGGTTTTCCAATATTATTTTTAGGCAGCAGCGTCTTTGGTAGTATAACTGAGAATTGATTTCCTTTCAGATGTATTCTTTGACATTAAAAACCATGTTTTAGTGATATCAATTAACCACATTTAAGTGATATTAATAAGGTTATATGAAATTGCAATATGTCACTTCAGAGGGCAGTTTCTGGTGGCCACATTTGAAAAGCTAGTTATGCTAGAACATTCTTTATGTACAAAGGAAGTAATTTCTTTTTCAAGTCTTGTTATTTTTAAAGTAAAGGAATTTTCATGGTAGATTCTATGGATGGGAGCATATGAAACAAAATGGTAACTCAAATAATGTGAGTGATGTCATACAGAGAGTGAGAATTTTGTTCACAAATTGTAACTGACCAGTGTGGCAAATGCATTCCTCAACATTATCACCAATATGGGAAAGAAGAAAAAGTCTGGCTTCTTTCTCAATGTGACCAAAGGAAATCACAATGTGGATATTTTGGAACAGTTTTACTATATGACTATTATGTAGATTTAGTATTTTTCATTCTAATTCTATGTAGTGGTTTGTTTTTGTTTTATTGAGAGGGATACATGGTCATTTTTTCTTTAGTTTTTGTTCTATTTATTTATACATTTTCAGAAAAGGTTGTTCCTTTTGGACAAACAGTACCATGATGGCAAATGAGGGATAAACTTATACTGAAGCCCTGGCATGTGTGATGAAATCTACTCTCTGGAAATGGACTAATCAGCCATTTAAGGTTTAGATAAATCAATAGAGAAAGTAGCATAAACTCATGGGCTTTTATTTCCATGCCCTCCAGCTGCTCTCATGCCTATACTTTGTAAAATATAGATCTCTTCCTTCTAGCAAATGACACCAAGCCATTTGGCAGTCATCAATTTGTCTTTAATATTTCTGTCATCTGGGAATTATTGTGAAAAATTTGAGTGAGGCCTGATTTAATTAAGCATTTCCTGCTATGCCGTGATAGAGGAGTCTTGGTTTTTCACATGCATAATATTTCCTGTACTAATTGGCCTTTTGTATTCCATGGTAAAAACAGTCAACTTAGACTTTTTCTTGATGTAGCTGATTGGATTGATTAGGGAGCAGTGGATATGAAATGAGGTTCTGTTAATGTCATTCTTTCCCTATAAAATTGCAATCAGGACCAGGATTAGCTCTGAATGTGTGTACATGTTTTCTTTTCAGTTTGCAAGTATACAGTCCATGAGCGCTGTGTGGCTAGAGCACCTCCTTCTTGCATCAAGACCTATGTGAAGTCCAAGAAGAACACTGATGTAAGTGTGCGGCTCTGCTTACTTTCTTAGGGTGGTGGTTATGGATGCCTCTTCTTATCAAAGTGCTCTTGTTCTACTCTAGGTCATGCATCATTACTGGGTTGAAGGTAACTGCCCAACCAAGTGTGATAAGTGCCACAAAACGGTTAAATGTTACCAGGGCCTGACAGGACTGCATTGTGTTTGGTGTCAGATCACAGTGAGTAACATCGGAAAACAAATCTCTAGCATTCATTCACAATGGAGACTGTGTATCCCATACTTTCCAAGTGTTTTATCCGGGATGATCGTGCTGAATTTTAGACTAAGCATAAAACCATATATCTCCCAAAGGGATAAGGGTCGAAGTCAGATTTGTCCTCACAGAATCCAGAGTTTTGGAGCTAGTGACAACCTTAGAGATTATACCATTATGCAGATTCCACCTATGTTCCACGGAGCTCTAGGAGGTACCAGGAAGGTGATGAGAAGCCATGGCTAGGGGTGGGCGATGTGTGCAGGACACAGTCTGAGTACAATTGAGCTCTCCCTCCATCCCTAATGCTATTTTGGAAGAAATTTCTATTTCACATGTTGTAAATTTATTTTAATCACAGAATCTATGGGCTTACAAAGGGTAGACAGATGAATAATGTGGTCCAAAGATCTCATTATACAGTGAAGACACTAAGACCAAGAAAAACATAGCAAATTGTCGTTGACCACATGGCTAGGTAGACATGCAAGTAGGTCCATATTTCAGTTCTTGATCCTTTTAAGAACTTATTTTGCCCTTCCTCACAACATGTTGTTGCCTTGCTCCTTCACTTATATCATAATTTGAGATATAAGATTTTACATATGGTATTTACATATAGTGTTTATAGATGTAAACTCTAGTCATTATAATGATATTGACAATTGAGAAAGAAGAGGTAAATTGGTCTTTTTCTGGGAAATTTTAGGACTCTGCCTGGTTTGCATAATTATCAATGCCTGTTTCAAATAACTTCTGGAATAAATGCAGTTGTTAGATGGTAATGCTAGAGTTTTGTGTTTAATTTCTGGAAAGTAATTAGAATGTCATTTTTATAATAGAGTACAAAAATATTTAGGGGATTGTTTCCCCTCCCACACACACACGTTAATTTTGTTTTGTTTTTCAAGCTAGTGTATGAGCCCTCCTGTTATAAGAGAAATTGTTCTTGCTTTTGTGGGATTAAAACAGTAGGGAGCAGTGTTTCAGTTAAGTACATTTTTCTGTAGTGCCCCTCAACCCCATACCCCACAAACCATTTACAATTTTTCTTAAACACACATATGCATACACACAGGATAATGAGAGAAACAAACTGTGACTTGCATTTCAAAAATACAATTACATACTTTTTTTAAATGAACACATTTTCTGCAATCATTTTCAGCTATTACTTGGTTAAATTACATTTACAGTTGAAATTTCCTCAATTATGAAAGAGTTTTGTTTTTTTGAAGTGTTTGGTTATTATAATAAAATGTCTGACAATGATTTAAACTACACATATGGATTACTTAAGCTTGTTGAGTCCTCAGTTTTAAGAAGACCACAACTATTTAATTTTTTAGAAAATTTGTATACATTATGTAATATTAGGTTTTTTTTGCTAAGTATCTATAAAAATATGTAGTTTTTGTTTCAGTCTTGTAGAAGCCTGTTTCCCTTACTTTCCCCATATAGTGCATATTTCCTTAGTTCTGTCTTTAACATAAGCTGAATTTGGAGAATATCAGAATTTAATTCTCGTTTGTATTTCAAGTTATTTTCCCATTCTTCGTAAATTTCAAGTGTAATGTCTTAGGTTTATTATTTTTCTTTTCTTTTTTTATTTCTTAAAAAATTTATGTGTTTTTAAGATTTTGTTTATTTATTTGACAGAGAGAGAGACAGCGAGAGAGGGAACATAAGCAGGGGGAGTGGGAGAGGGAGAAGCAGGCTTCCCGCATAGCAGGGAGCCCAATGCGGGGCTCGATCCCAGGACCCTGGGATCCTGACCTGAGCCGAAGGCAGACACTTAATGACTGAGCCACCCAGGCACCCTAAAAATTAATGTATTTTAAATGTGTAATCATTTTGAATACTCTAAAAATATGCATTACTGCCTCTCCTAATACAAAGGCTTGTGAGCTTCTAGAATTTTCTTTATTTGACTGATCTCTTTCTTTCCTTTTTTAATTCCATATTTAATGAAATATGTCTTCTGCCCTTTCAAGTCTATGGAAATGACTGTCCTTAAAGTTACCATTGCTAGTAGTCTGCTATTGATAGTCAAGGAATCTTTAGATTCTTTTCTTGTTTATATTCCATTTTGTTTTCCTAGTTTTCTTTCTTACGTTTTAATGTTCCTCTTATCTGTAATTCCATAAATCTACATTGCTACCTCTTTCTTACATTGCTACTTATCAGTTGTACATTTATATTTGATCTTAATCTTGGCCCCAGCCTTGTAACAAATTGGGCCTCCCTGGGGCACCTGGGTGGCTCAGTCAGTTAAGCATCCAACTCTTGGTTTTGGCTCAGGTCATGATCTCATCATCATAGAATCAAGCCCTGCATTGGGTTCCTCACTCAGCACGAAGCGTGCTTGTCTCTCTCCTTCTGCTTCTCCGCCCCACACTTTCTCTCAAATAAATAAATAAAATTTTGAAAAAAGAAAGAAATTGGGCCTCTCTTTTGTAGGATAGAGGGTGTCGCCTCTGGATAAACTATACTTTTAAAAATCTCAGGATTTCATGCCCAAATTAATTCAGACAACATGCCCCTAACATCTTATTCTTAAGTAAAGATCAATGTGTAAATGAAGATGATTCTATTTGTCACTATAGCAGAGCACAACATAAACCATAAATGTCTTTAAATCCTTTGGTTCCGCTTAGGAAACAAGGGAGCACTGAGAGGTTTAAGGAAGAGTAAAAAAATATATATATATATATGGCTGCCAATTTACTAAGCTCTGAGAAGTCCAGAGCCTTCTGGTGAGCCTTGGCCTTATTTTTCACAAACCATGATCTCTAGAGGTCCTATGGGTATTTGGTTCTTGAAACAAGACTTGCATAATTTTTTTTGAAGTTCTCATATATCCAGAAGAATATGTAGCCTTCTTAAAAGTAAGTTCATTCTCTAGGCACTTTTGGATTTTTAACTGTAAGCCATTTTAAGGACACATTCATTAATTTAATGATTTTGTACCTAGGTTAAACAAAATATATTTACCCCAGAATATTTATATATTTAGTATAACCTATACTTTCTTCTTGAACCATTATGGAAGATTTTAGCGTAAGGTTGATCTGTTCTTGACCCCAGTGTTTTCCTAATACTACTGATTGCCTTTAAACAGACTGAATCTCCTTTCTCATGTCCTCATGCTTCCCAGAAAGTACTATTAATATAGCAAATATCTAGCAGAAGTTGAGAAAGAGATGGGCTCTGGCACCAGCAATGCTAAGCTTTAGGAAGACCTATCTGAATGGAGTCTATACGAAATAGATTGCAAAGAGAAACAAAAAGAATGAAACTTGGCTTCATTTCACAAGTTTCCCCAAGGCTATTGCTTTCTTTTATGTATTATTTTTGGAAATGGGTTGAGTCTTATAAGTCAGGCTGACCAGATTCTTAACATGTTCGCTGTCCAACAATTAAGATAGTAGTTGTTTAATCTTGGACCAGGCAGTTTCCTAATTTGTAAAATGGAGTTAACAATATCTGTATTACAGGATTGTTATAAGAATTAAATGAGTTAAAAAAAATCTGTGTAGGTGTGTTTAGGGCAAGACCTCACACATAATAAGTATTCAGTAATTGACAATTATTATTGTAGTGAAAACTGGGTAAAATACCACAGGGGCACAAAATCCAACCCCTGGCTCACAGAAGGTGCTCCATGAATATTACTCATGCCTTTTCTCTTTCACCTCTGGAAGGATCTAGTTGCCCAGTCTAAGTCAGAATAGAATAGCATCTGCATATTCTAAAATCATCCAGAACCATGTGGTCCTGAATCTCACTAAATCTTAGACTAAGCGGATTTATTTATATTCACAAAAAGCAAGTATTCCAGCTTTCTCTCTTCTATCAGACATGGTATCATCATGCTTGCAGTCATTGGAAATAAAGTTAGAAGTCAATTTCTTTTCTTGTCTTTCACCTTTCTCTCATATATTCAACCTATCACTGAGCCTTGACATTTTCTCCTTAAAATATCTCTCTCGGATTTTAATTTTTGTAGCCATCATTCACAGCCCAAGTGCAAACTCTTAGCACCTCTTAACTAGATTAGAGTCAGAGTCTCTTGGCTTATTTCCCTAACAGAAGGTACTTTTCCTATAATGCAGGCTGCAAACCACCTCCAGAATCATCTTCTGAAAATACTAGTTTGTTATCATATGCCACCTTCAGCACCCTATAATAGTTCTGTGATAATAAATGCAGCCCTCACTTCCTCCTACCCGACCTGGTTTTCAGTTCCTCAAATATCAGACCCAAACCTAAGCACATGACGTATATGTTATTCCTTTCTACACACAGCCCCTGCTGTAGCTGTGAAGAGCTATTGGCCGTCCCTTGGACAGCCATGCTTCCCCCTTACCTGTTAACTTTTGTGACTCTATCCCCTTGAGTGTACCCCCCTTCAATTCTAACTACACCTGAAAAACCAAATTAAGTTCTGTATCTGCCTTGAAATTTACGTGACACTAAGAGTTCTCTTTTTTGAATACTTTCTGTACTTTTATTCCATACCAGAAAGAAAGACTAAATGCTCTCCAGAGGTTTCATGTCTGCATATTAAGGTTGTGAACACTTTTAGATTACAATGTGATCGAGCTCCTGGTCAAAAATATACATTTTTTCCTCATCACCTAAAATGCTTGACAGAGTATGGAGCTTAGAGGAGGTCCTAGTTCACTTTATTTTTTTTAAAGATTTTATTTATTTATTTGAGAGAGAGAATGAGATAGAGAGAGCATAAGAGGGGGGAGGGTCAGAGGGAGAAGCAGACTCCCTGCTGAGCAGGGAGCCCGATGTGGGACTCGATCCCGTGACTCCAGGATCATGACCTGAGCCGAAGGCAGCCGCTTAACCAACTGAGCCACCCAGGCGCCCCGATAAGTTCACTTTAATGACTGATATATTTGTCTTCTTAATGTTAAATATTGAATTTTAAATGCACGTCTTAAATTCTT